ATTCACAGTGGCTTCCTGAGGCTTCCACAGAGCCCCTCCGTCTTTCCCCCTAGGAAAGAGGATTTCCCTATTTCTGAAAGTCTAATTTTCACAAACACATTTCCCACCAGAAGAACATTTTTAGCAGAGTTGGTCCCTTGTTACAGCTTTTCTTTTTTAAATAGCAGATTACGGAGATAGAATCTGCAAGCTATACAATTCATTCTTCTCCAAGGTATAATGCAGCAGTTTTTAGTATAGTCCCCGAGTTGTACAACCATCGCCGCTACCTCACTGTAGCTCTGAGGAAGGAAAAAGTCCTTTTGGGCAGTAACAGTGCTGTTTCCTACAGGGAGAGGGAAGCCCTACTTGCAGACCTGTCCCCTCCACAGGCATCAGGGCCTTAGACTTTGATGCAGAACAGCTGTCTTCATCTGGGGCTGAGAGAGGTGGTGGGACTTGCCCAGGGTCACACAGCTGGTGCTCAGAAGTCAGGACCTCTCCTTTGCAAAGCTGCTCACCCTGTCCCTGCATGGACACCAGAGTGACAGTTGCCCTGCTCCTGCTGAGGGCGTGGACCTCCTCTGTCTTACCTGCCACCAGCTGCCTGGTGCCCTGCCCAGGTGGGTCAGCGAACACAGAAAGTGGTGGTGTTATTATTACATAAGTCATCGGGGTTCATTATAGAAACACTGGAAATATGTATTGACAGAAGTTGGGGGTGGGGGAGAGAAATGAAGACATGGTCGCACAAATACCTGTTCTTTAGCCACTTTATACAGCTATCAACAATTGGAAACCACCGCTGTTCTTCAACAGGAAGCGACCTGGCTGACAGCTTTCAGATTCTCTACCTGACGGACGACTGCTTGGCATTACAGACCTACAGACCGAACTCCAGCCGCCACCGGCTCTCCAAAGTGTTAGGTTATGTGGGAGAAGCTGGAGTCAAAAGGCAACAGCCACACTGCATGGTCGCCTTTATAGGAAATCTGGAAAAGGCAAAACTATTGGGACAAAATAAATCAACGGTTGCCTGGGGCTGGGGACCCTTCTGGGGCGACGGTATCTGTATCTTGACCGTGGTCGTTACGAGACGGTCTACATCAGTCCCAACTCAGGGGGTGAAGCCTACTGTATGTGAATTATACCTCAATAAATCTGACTTTTTAAAACAAGTTGGGGGTTCCCTTAAACCCCCACCCAGAGAGGGTGAGTTTCTTCAGTTCCTTACAAGCTCCCATATACTTCTTGACTCATCTTTGCCTGTTTTGCTTTGGGGGCGAGGAGGAGGGACGGGGGCCCTGCACAGTGGCAGTGTCTCTCAGTCCTGCTTTCAGAAGCCCTGAAGGGAAGCTATACTGGGCTCCCCATGCCCTCAGCACTGCACAGCCAGTGTCCATCTAGTGACCCTCACCTGGCCACCAGGCCCCCATGCAGCCCCAGCTAGAGGTTGTCCTCTGCTCTGCCCCCAGGCCTCTGTGCTGTCTCCTGGCCTGTGTGGGTGAGGAGTGTACCCTGGGCAAGTCCCAGGGGCCCCCTACCTGCCCTGGCCACTGGAGCCTCCTGACAGTGCCACCTCTGGTCCCTTCTGCACAGCGACTATTGCTCACCTGAGGCCCCCAGAAGACACCACAGGGTGGGAGAAGGAAGGGGTTGCCCAGGGCAGAACAGCAAGTTGCTTGAGTTTCCTCAGTACCTCTGGGTGTAAACTGGAGATGGTAACAGAAGTGCCACCCGGGGCTGTCACGGGGGTCAGAGAGGATTAGCACAGCCCTCGGTGCTTGTTAGTGATGAGCGTTATCATCTCAGTTACTCCACAGAGCTGGATCTGGGGTCAGCCTCCAGCCTGGGGAAACAGGTAGCTGTCACCTGGGGTGAAGTTTATAAAAATAAGGGTGCCAACAAAAGGCCATCTAGGTTAGCACCTCAGCATCCTCCACCTGGCGCTTCCCTGTGGTTCTCTTCTTGGGGTCCCAAGTGCTCTGCTCAGAATCTAACCTGTGCCCTTATTTCCCCTGCTTTTAGCAAGGAGGGCACCCATGGTCCATGAAGGGGCCTTGCAGAAATAGGGAGCCCTGAGGAGGCCTGAGCAGCAGCCCCTGCACCCCACCCCAGGGAATCAGATGTGGGGTTGCTAGGCCACTGGGAGCCTCCCTCTCATGCAGGGGGCCACCCACACAGCTGCCTGTCCTTGGAAGGCCACGCTGACCCCGCCTGTGGCTACGGGGTGGGGCGGGGCTGCAGTGGGCCCAGCAACTCCCACCCCTGTGGCAGGGGAGCCCCCGTGCGGTGGACTGGCCCTGCACGCCTGCCCCTGCCTGCCCATGGGAGTTGGCTGCATCCTCTGTTGTACCAGGTGAAGCCCTGCTTTCTGAGTAACCCAGCACAGGACCCTGGGGTTCCTGTCAACTTGGCAGGTGGGCACTGAGCCTGATTTTAAAATCTCACATCATTTTGACTTCAGATCATATTTCCTTCTGTAAGAAAACCCTAGCATCACAGACACAGGTAGAGGCACCTCCCTCCCTCCCCAGAGACCATCACTACCGTATCACACTGCATGCTCCCCTCTACAGTTTGCTTTGGGCTCAGCACGCTTGTCATAGCTGTCCACGTTAATTCACCTGGTCCTAATGTGTTCACTTCAACTGCACAGTACTCCATTGTACACACACGCCACATTTTATCAATCTACTCCTCTGCTGATGAACAGCGGGCTATTTCCAGCTTATCACTATCACAAGCAACGCTGCAAAAGCAGCTTTCCACCGTGCCTGCATCTCTAGGAACCAGACCTGGGAGGGAGATGAGGTGGCCACAGGGCACACACAGCTTCCTACGTTACCAAATATCACTTACTTGCCTTCCAATCCTTTTAAGAGTCTCCTAATTGTCTTCTGAGTCTGCACAGCATTTCCTCTCAAAGTGGTCTCTCATCCATCCCAAAGCACTGCTTTGCCAATAGTTAAGGTTGGGGCCCAACTTGTTTTTTATGCAGAAAACCAGTAGTCCCTGTTACGGCCTTTGTCACCTGGCCTCCTCACCATCCCCTGTGGCCAGGCCCATCCCTGTCTCTGTATCTTAACTCCCCATCCCTTTTCATGAGCAGAAATACCTCCTTTCCGCTAAGCCACCCTTCAAGACAGTCTCAGCACGAACGCAGACCAAGATCCACCTTTTGTTCATGGACGGGCCCAAGGCACGGATGGTGGCCACCGGGACACCTGCTTCATGCCTCTCCAAATGGCCACCAGCTCCTGTCTGCCCCTCAGCTAGGATCACAGCCTGTCCTGGCACAGGTCACCTGCTATGGCCCCTGAATGTCTGTCCCCAGCACCATCATGAGCCCCACCTGGCAGGGCTGGGTGGAGCCTTACCTGCTCATGTGGCACCACATAGGCTGGGCACGTGGGGGCTGGGCTAAGTCCTGGCAGAGCACCTTCACTGGACCCCTGGCCTCCCAGCATGACTCAAACTCACAGGGAGGCCTGAACTGGCCATTAGGAGATAACTCTATCTGTGTGACTGGGGAGCCACTTGACTGCTCCAGGCCTCAGTTTCCTCATCTGAGCAATGGGGCTGGCCAGACTCAACAAGGAGCTCGGAGGGGAGCACAACCTTGTGGGCGAGGTGCCCCAGTGCTTCATTCACACAACTACTTGCCACTCCAGCAGCTGATCCCAACACACGGGCCTCCTGTCCCTCGAGGAGAGGAAGGGGAGGAGGCGGCGGCCGGCGCCGCACACTCACGTTTTCACGTAGGGGTCCGAGTAGCCATTGGCGTCCATGGCAGCCAGGTGTGCGCAGCGCACGATGCCCACCAGCAGGCCCTGTTTCTGTGAGCTGTACTTGAGGGAGATGAGGATGCGGCCCCGCTCCTCCAGGGACTTGTCTTCCGACTTGTCTACCTGTGGGGAGGGTGGGCGGTCACTTGGCTGTCCTTGCCTGCTCCCCCAACTTTCACAGCCACAGACCCAGGCCAAACAAAGCCTACAGGATGGTGAGCGGTCACCCTCGCCCCAGCCCCCTGGAAGGTGCCTCCTGGAGCCTCTCAGGGTGTAGGGGGTGCCCCACTGGGGAGAACCCAGAAGACAGAGCTTGGCACACTGCCAACCCCAGGGGCAGCTGGGAGGCAAGTGGGGAGTGGCCCAGGCCCCTCCGTCCCAGTAGCTAGCTGCCCAGTGCCCCTTCTGGGGTCAGATCTCAACTCTAGGTTTCCCACTCCTGCCCACCCCACACTTTTCCATTCATTGCCCTCCTGAGATCACCCATTTCCACCTTCCAGCTGCTACTCACCTGGAGCCCCTCACCTTTACCCTCTGTCCACCCAGCCTGAGCCCCATGACCCCCGAGGGCTCCTCCTAGGCTTCTCTGCCAAGCTCCTCTCATATGCAATCCCTTTGCCCTCAACTGTCCTCTGCCTGGCACTAAAGTGGTGCCTCATGTGGCCCCTGGTAGGCAGGGGCCATGCCTGCACCTCTGGAAATGGGGCTCCTATGGGATGAAGGAAGGACCACTGCCCCCAACTCCCACACCCAGAGCAGACATGGCTAGCTGATCACCGAACTTGCCTTGAGCTCAAACGCAGCCGCAGCACCTTCACACAGTGCTCAGGCAGCCGTGACCCGTAGGTGAGATGAGGCAGCTGAGATTTAACTATCTGCCACTCAGGCCCAGGGCTTCCTGTGTGATAGCCTCACTAAACCATGGCTCTTGTGCTTGCTATGTGATGTGGGAAAATTAAACAGTATAAAAGAGCAGGGATATTTCCAGTTGGTTTTCTAGGGTGGGATATACTTTGGATCGTTTCTCATGAAGACCATTGAACTGGGCATCGTTCAGTGTCTACTAAGAACGAATAAGGTTTACAAGACTATGTAAAATCTAAAAGGGACCATCAAAATGAATCTGCACTGCTGAGCGATCATCCCCAGCTGCATGCTTGTCACTGTGGGCCCCTGAACCAGACAAAGGGACTCCTAGCAAACTCAAGCGAGGTTCAGCAATGCCCTGACCATGCCCGTGCACAGGCACACATGCTCTCACGCACCTCTGTGCACAAAGCGTGCTCACACTCGCATTCCACACTCTCAATGCAGATACACATATGCACACTCTGCTAATACAATTCACACTCACACCACAGGTGTTTGTTTATGCCGGGGACCAAAACTCAGGAACACAACTCCAGCAGGAATTGGTGTTGCCTTTTGTAAGTGACATAGATCATTTGGAAAAACTGGGTCACCTGCGGTTAGTGACTAATAATAAAAAGGTTATCTCCATCACACAAATGTCTCAGTGGGAGGGAACGTGACAAGGGAATCCAATATGCAAAAAGGCAGAGCTGGGATTCTGGGAGGAAATCTGACCTCAGGTCACTCGTTTCAGGGCTCCATCAGGCCAGGCTACACTGAGCATGCGTCCTAGGACCCAGGGGACAGGCACTCAGCTGGGTTCTGTCCTCTCGAGCTCTCCCCTTGCCTGGGACTTCCAAGGGGGTGGGGAGGGGAATGTCCTGGGGAGAGGACTGTGCCCTGAGACCACGCAGTCCCTGAAGGCCCAGGTTTCTTAGATCCTGAGGCCCTGAGGCCTCCTGGCCAACCCCTCCCAGCTCCTCTGAGCTGGGTGAAGGCAGGCCTCAGAGAGGGGAGGGAGTAGGGCGTGGAGAGAGGGAGGGAGGGAGGGATTGCTGAGAGACTCTGGGAGGGCTCAGCTGCTGCACACAGCCAGGGGGCAAAATCGGTTTTGACATCATTTTCAAACAATTGCCATTTCTAGGAAAGAATTATTTTCTGTCTCCTCTGGGTATCTCACAGGCTCCTCACGCCTAACATGTTCCAGTTGAGCTCCAAGAATCCCCCAGCTGCTTCTCCCACGGTCCTCTGCATCCCAGTTAATGACCCTCCATCCTTCCAAGTGCTTGGGCCCCACGCCTGAGGATACTGATCTACCCACACTTCTCCCCTTCTCCGCTGCTGCACCCCCCAGGCCTGGTCCTACTCTTCCCTCCTTCTCCCTCTCTGCACCCTCGCCCTCCATTCCCTCCCATTCTTAGGAGCCTGTTAAAATGTGCTCAGAAGCCTTGGCACCTGCCTAGCACCCTCCCGTGGTTCTTCTCACTCAGGATAAGGCCCAAGTCCTCCCACGCTGCCCACCCTGACCTCTCCTTTCAGCTCCCAGGACCCCCTCCCCTCGTTCTCTCTACCCCACTCAGTTGATCTCTTGCCTGAGCCTCCCACAGGCCAGCTTCGCACTTTTCCACATGGGGCTTTGCACCTGCTGTTCCCTCTGCCTGGAAGAGTCCCTGCTTGACGGGCGAGGCCTCCCAGAGCACCCATCCAACTCACTAGTCCTGCTTGTGCTTTCCTGCTTGGCCCTGATCCCTGCCTAACAGACGACCTGTTTGGTTATTTTATCTCATTTTTGGTGCCCAAGCTTCATGAGGACAGGGAGATATGTCTCCCCAGCACCTGCAACCATGCCAGGCACATAGTAGATGCTCAGTTAGTGCTCCTGGCCCTGCACTCTCAGCCAGGCAGGCCCTAGACGGCTGCAAAGCCCGTGGCTGGAGGGAGCGAGCGGCCCACTCACCGGCAGCTGCTTCTCCAGGCAGATGCTGAACGTCTTGGTGTGGTTGGGCTTCAGCTTCTTGAGGGGCACCCGTGTCTCCCCAATGAATTCATTGTGGCGGAATTTGTCCTCATCACAGACGGAGATCCTGGAGGGCAAGGGGCCTCTCGGTTTGCTTCCAAAGTCAGTGGGGATTTACAAGCAGTGATGGTGGTGGTGGTTGGGGTTGGGCGGGCAGGGCCAGCCCCATGGACCAGGCCGGGTGGGGTGGGGGGAGCCAGAGGCCAGGGGCCTCACCTACCGCAGGGTCTTTCGGATCATGTCTTCGTCCGTGATCCCATAGTAAGTGAGCGTCTCGTTCCACGTGGGGTTCAGAGTGTTTCGGAGAGTTTTAGTTCTCAGCTTATTTGCCTGGAGAGAGAAAAAATGATCTTCTGAGCATCAAAGAGTGTGGTGGGCAGGGTAGTGGCCCCAAAGACGACCACGTCCCAACCTCCTGAACCTGTGCATGTGCGGCCTTCCCTGGCAAAGGGGGTTACGGTTGTTAATCAGCTGACTTTAAAACAGGTGGATTGCCAGGGGGAAGGTATCGCTCAGCGGTAGAGTGTGTGCTTAGCATGCACAAGGTCCTGGGTTCAATCCCCAGTACCTCTACTAAAAAATAAATGAAAAATTAATTTAAAAATATATAAATAAACTTAATACCCCCCTCCCCCCAAAAAAACCAAAAATAAAAATAAAACAACAACCAAAAAACCAGGCAGATTGTCAAGATGATCTGGGTGGGTCACGTCATTACGGGGCCCTTCAAAGCAGAAGAGAGAGGCAGGAGAGAGTCAGAGACAGACGTTACGAGGGAAGAAAGGCAGAGGCAACACCGGCTTTGAAGATGGAGGGAGGGGCCATGAGCCAAGGAAAGGGGGGTTCCTCTAGAAGCTGGAAATAGGCTGGAAATAGCTTCTCCCCTAGTGCCTCCAGAACGGAATGGAGCCCTGATGACATCTGATTTTAGCATGGTGGGACCTGTGTCGGAATCGCACCCTGCAGAACTGGAAAGGTAAGAAATTTGTAGTGCGTGAGCCACAAAGTCGGTGGTAATTTGTTAAGGGAGCCTTAGGAAATGAAAACAGGGGGCTCCTGCCTCCTAGGGGTGCAAGTGTGTGTGTGTTGTGTGTGTGTGTGTGTGGTGTGGTGGGGAGGGTGTCTACAGGAGGCGGTGGGGCTGGGAACCTGCCTGTGGGACTGGATTCTCTCCCTCACACCTCTCTGCCTTCGCTAGGGCTGTTCCCTGCCTGGAACGCACCTCTCCTAGAGAATGCCTGGAAGCGCAGGGTAGGGAGTGACCCATCCAAGCCACCTATGGCCTCCCCTCCTTCCCTGGTGCTTCCGGAGATCCTGGTTCTTAAACTCCTTACCTGTGTTCCCCCTGCAGACTCTGAGCTCCATATCTGAGTCCCTCTGATGTCTGCCACAGTGACCTAGGCTTTGAAGTTAGACAGCCCTGGGTTCACATCCAGCATCACCACTTACATAAGCTCTGTGGAGCCCAGTGGGTTTACCTGCCCTCTGTGAGGGTCGGGCTCCCCACTGTGAAAAGGGCATGACAACACCTCTCTCTCAGCACTGCTTTCAGACCTCTTTCTAAGAAGGCTGCGCTCTGTGGGGAACCCTACGGGAGGCCCCTAGGACTCAGCAGCCAGGTACTGTGGACTCTAGAGACACACAGTCACTGAACTCCGGGGTTGGGCACCTGCCTCGGTCCTCGGCCCTCACAGCCCTGGGGTCCTCTGGGCGGCATGAGGATGCTGGGGCCTGGAGTGGGAGGAGGGCCACTGCCACTTCCCCCACAGCCCTGCCCTCCCTACAGAGGGAATAATCACCCCTTTTGGGGAGGCCCCCCAGGGTCAATGGGAGTCCCAGCCCGACACACTCATCCAGGGAGTTTGGGCCCCAAAGTTAACTCAGGCCCCAGCAGTCTGTGGGTGCTCAGCCTGGGGATTGCCACTTGGGGGCAGGACTGGAATTGTCCTGAGCAGTGTCAGGGGAGGCCCTCTGCCCAGGAGGGTGCCCCATTGCAGATTCTTCTTCTCTGTCAGGTCAGGGCCAGGAAGGACGTCCCCATCTTTGGCTTCTGAGAAAGAGGCCAGGACTAGAACACCAGCCACTGGGCTCTGCTGCTCACACTCCTGTGTCCTGTGTCCCATATCTGTCTGCCTCTGCCCTGGTCTCTACTTGGAAGCAAAGCTGCTGGACTCCAGTTGAGTCCCTGCTGGCGTGGGGTCTGCCCAACCCACCCCTTGGGATGTCTGTGGGTCCCAGGGCCAGGGCAGGACCCAACTCTGAAAAGATGATGTGACTTTCCCTCCCATGAAATTACAAATAAAACAACACTGAACCATAAGACGTATGAAAGGAAGTCTACTCAAGTTCTGATCTAGCACCAAAGGTTTCCTGTCTTTTCCTCTCCTTTTGTAGATACACCTGTTGGGCTGGCCTGTGTGTTGGGTCATCTCGCATGGGAATAAGGATTCTGTAGTCAAATAATTTGGGCAGATGCCCACCACTCCATCTCCCTTGTAAAGCATCACAGAGCAGCCCATCAATAAAGGCTCTGATAAGTCCCGCAGCAAAGAAACCTGTTTAACAATGTTTTCCAATGTTATTTGGCCACAGAACCCTTTGCACATAGTATTAATCTCCAGCTGAGGATGTTTTTTATAAAATACTGGCAGGGAAATTCTATGGGGGAGTTTCCTCAACTTAGCAGGCAGGTAGTGCTGACTCACGTTCCCTGGGAGGTCTGGAGGGTGTGGACTGACTGGGTGCTCTGGGTGGAGGTGGAGTGAACCCATCAGCTTGCTTGGGCTCCGAGTGGGTGTGGGAGCTGCAGGCCTCCCTGGATGCCCCAAGCCCAGCCTGGGCCCCAGTTGCAGGGCTGGTCAGCAGGCCTGGGGCAGGGCCCTCACCTTACTGGCTCCTGGCAGCAGGTGCAGCTTGACATAGGGGTCCGCCAGCCCATTGTGGTCCATCGGCTTCAGGCCCTGAGCAGAGGAGAGGCAAAGGGTGTAACTGGGGGGCTGGGGACACAGAGCAGTCACGGCCTCCAGGCACCTGGGTCAGCAGGCATCCTTGCTCCTGGGCCTCCTGGCTGGGTCTGTTCATGGCCCTCTTCACAGAAGCAACCCGGCCCCGCACCCCCAGAACGGGAGGTGAGGATGGCTCGGTGCTGGTACACTCCTCCTCCCCGCAAATGTCTGGCCCTGGGCAGGCGACTTGGGGCATCTTTGTCAGATGAGCTTTTCTCTTTCTCTCCTTATCATGGAGGCCAGGTGACTCACCTTTCTCTGAATAAGGGCCTTGTTACCCTGCTGTACTCGGGCCCTTTCCTCTTCCTGTCCCCCCTCCCCCAGCTCGGCAACTTCTCTCATTGACCCCAAGTCCACATGACCCTCTGTCCACTCAGCCACACGTGTCCCCCTGTGGCCATGGGAAAATGTCCTACATCTTGGACTCCAGGCTCAGTTTCTGTCTGGCTTTGCCACAGCTCTCAAAGCTCTCAACCAGTCTGTGTCCATGGAAGCCACACAAGCTGGCCGGCCACAGAGGGTCCCTCCACAAGATGGCACCCCTCACTGACTTCCAACAACCAGTCAGCGTGAATAGCCAGGGTCCCCATGGGACCATCAACAGACGGGGCTCAGTGGACCTCATATGGGCTCCTGTTTATATTTTCCTTCTGGGACGGCACACAGGGATGTAGGGAGGCAGCTGTGGCCTGTGTGGGGCTGATGGGCAACCCCACGACATCATTCAAAGAGGAACTGCAAGTCATGACTGGCCCACCTCCCAGGGCGGCCGAGGTCCTTCTCTCTCCCTCCCCATCTTGGTTTGGAGGAGCCCCCAGGTGGGTCCTTCCAACTTCTACCAACCACTGCTCTGTTCCTGGGAAGGGGCACACAGGTTTTAGAGCCAGGCTGGCCTGGGTTTAGGTCTCAGCTTCTGCACTTACTAGCCGGGTAAGTGAGTGCGTTCTCCTGAGCCTCAGCTTTAGCATCTGTAAAAGGGGTTAACAGTCCCCACTTCCCAGGGATGGGGAGAGAGGTGAGGAGGCAATGCTGACGCAGGGCCTGGCTGCTGGGGGATTTGCTCCCCTTCCCTGACATGCAGGCCGCTTGGAAGATGCCAGAGAAGCAGCTGAGCTGGGGTGGCATCTGAGCTCTGCCCTGCTCCGAGGGGACAGCTTCCCTCCCTAGCTGGGCGGCTCCTCCCAACACAAGTCTGTCATCCCACCTCTCACCCTTCCCCATGAAGGTGGAATTTCCCAGGACTGGTGGTTCTGTCAGAGTTTTCCCAGTTGCGTTGTGGATATGAGTGCCCGTGTGTGTGTGTAGTGGGTGGGGCGTTTGCATCAGGGCAGCATCAGGTCCTGAGCATTTACTTAATGCTCACAACAGCCGCATAGGTGGGGACAATTAACTGTCTTACAGATGAACAAACCGAGGCTCCTCTGCTCACCAAGAGGGAGGGTTAACAAGCTAGGGTCCAGAGCAGAGGCATCTGGCCTTCTCCCAGAGACCCCCGAAGGGTTCCGCCTGTCAGCTTCAGCCTTCCCACCGCCTGGGGTTCCTCCCCACACCCCAGCTCCTCCCATGCCTGTACCACCACATTCCCTACAGAACCGGATCCAAGCAGAGGATGGGGTGCACCATGGTTGGGTGCTCCCATCCCCCACCCGCAATGCCTTGAAAGACACACTCCCAAGTGGATATGCGGGCACCCCACCCCCCACCCCCAGTACACCCACACCCACACCCACACTCTGGGGCCCAGGTAGGGAAGGCAGGGCACACAGCACAGGAGGGGCCTGGTGTCTGGAGGGGAGGAGAGGGCATGGCTCTGGCCAGAGTGGCCTGGCAGCCAGTACCCATTCCCAGCCCCCAGGCCTGGACAACCTCTATACAGCTGGGTGGAGGGAGACGGGAAGGGGTCTGCCCAGGCTGTGCAGCCTGCCCTTCCCCGTAGCACAGCTGAGGGTCCTAGGGCAGGTCTGGAGCTCCTGCATCACAGCCCAAGCAGCTCCCAGCTCCCAGAGAGAGCAGGGGCAGGGATGGCGCGGGCCCAGTGGGACACGACTCACCCCTGCCACGCAGTTGGGCTGGGTAGCGCACAGCTGGGGCTATACCAGGCAGTCCACCCCTCTGGGTGGGCAGAGCCATAGGCAGGATAGGAGGAGGGGCAGAGAAGCTAGTGGGTTGAGGGGCTGGTGGGGGAGCTGGTGGGGGTGCTGGGCCCAGGCCCTTGCACGGCTCTACTGGGAGGGTCTAGAAGGCTGCATGGCCACCCTTACCTTGCGGGAGAACATCAACTTTGGCACCTTCCTCCCAGAGGGAGCGATGCAGTGGGGGGACGAAGGGAACAGTGTGGCTGAGAACACACAGCTGCCAGCCCAGGGGCGGGGGCGCAGCGGGGTTCACGGACACCCACCCCCACCCAGAGAGCAAACTCAGGCCCACTGTACCAGGACTAGCCTCCTGCCCGAGGGCGTCAGCATCCAGAGCTGGGAGGCCCAGGTGCTGGGAACCTCGGGCGGGAGGCATCTGAGTCCAACCCCTCTTCTTGGCCTCTAGGACAGGCCTATCACCTCCCCGCCTTCCCTGTCTCTCTCCTTAGCTCCCCAGTTCAGTCCCCTGAAGGCCCCCGCCCCCACTTCATTCTCTCCAGCTTCTCTGTTCTCTTTCCCCCAAAGTGCAGGGCTTTTTAGGGGCAGCTGAGATGACTGAGGCAAGAACTCCCTCCCGGCCCGGCACCTGCAGAAGAGACGCCACCCAGCCAGGACGGGAAACAGGGGTGGCCCGGCCTCGGCCCCAGCGCCTCCCCCGGGGGCGCCTACCTTGGCCTTGCTGATGGTGCAGTGGAGGGCGCTGTTCTCCTGGTCGTAGAGCAGGCTGAAGTCCAGCGTGCCCAGGGCGGCTGTGGACATGGAGGGCTCAGTCAGGTGGGGGCTGCGTGGTGGAGAAGCGTCACCCACCCCGTGTGGCTGGATGAGGTGCCACGGTGACTGCCACCCACTGAGCACCTGCCGCGTGCTGATCCCCCAACCCTGGGAAACGAACATTCCCCCCAGTTTCCTAGACGAGGAGCTGAGGCTCAGGAGGGTCAGGCCTGTCCTCAGCCACCGAGGGTGGTGGCCCAGGAGTCAAACCTGGGCGGTGGGCCCCTGACCCCCGCACTGAGAAGCACGGCCTGGGGCTGGTCCAGTGGAGGGGCCACGTGTGCTGGGTGCTCAGCTAAAGGGGTTCCTGCCCTCCTGGTGCAACTGCCAGTCTGGGCTAAATGAGGCTGCAGGCCCTGGCTGGGCTGACTGCCTAGTCACTTGCCGCTCCCCAGCAATACTTGGGGCTAGGGATCCCTGTCTCTCCGGTCCTTTGGTGGCCCCGGGCAGGATGCGAGGAGTCAGCTGGGCCCTCGGGCTGCTACCCCTAACCTCTGAAAGGCAGCGAGTGATTCCTAAGGGCGGGCAGAAGGTTAAGTAATCATTGGATGCAGCTGCTACCCTCGGGGGCGATCACACACGGCAGCCTTTCCGGTGGATGTGGCTCCCAGTATGAGGGTGGGGTTGAGAGTGGGGGCAGGCTTTGGGGGCAAGTCTCCAACAGCAAGATGCACATTCACAGAATGTCTTTAGAAGTCCAGATCCTGCTGTGGGCTGCTGGACTGTCAACTGGCATCCCATTCATTCATTCTTTCCCAAGTGTTTACAATATGCCAGGCCCTAGGAATGAAGGTATCAATAAGGCAGGGTTCCCGCCCTGAGGAAAGCACAGCTTAATGGGAGGAACAGATGAAACAGATTTGCCACAACAGTCTGGTGGGCCAGGATTGATGAGGGGTCCAAGGGGGAGGCCTGGCTTTGATGTGAACTGAGGCCATCAGGGAAGGCTTCCTGGAGGAAGCGACGTTTCACCTGCACCATGAGAGATGAGTAGGAGCTGGCATATACACAGGGGGCTAGGGGAAGGGGCATTCGAACCACAGGCCAACTCAAAGGGTGGGTGGCTGAGTGATGCTGAGGGCAGGGCAGTGCTCTGTTCTCCAGGCCAGGCATGCCTAGCAGCGGTCTAGATCAACCTATGGCCACCTGGCCAAGTCTGGCCACATTCATCTGTTTACATCTGGCTCATAGCTGCTTTGGCACCACAACAGCAAGAGCTGAGTAGATGTCACAGAGGCCACGTGGTCCCCAAGCTAGAGCAGGGGTCCAGACATGGCCAAGTTTCAGGTCTGCGGAAAACAGGCAATTAAGGGCCCTGTGCGCGGAGCGGTCCTTGATTCTGAAGTCTGGCACTGAGTCGTGTTCACCTTGCTCCCAGATCCTAACACAGGTTCAGGCACACAGCTCAGTGTCTCTATCACTGCCCGGCAGGGACATATGTGGGGTGCGAGACCCACCCTCTGATGTCTGCCCCTGGGTTCTAATCCCAGCTCTGCACCTCCTTGCTGTGTGGCCTTAGACCGCTTACCCAGTCTCACTGTGCTGCAGTTTCCTCACCTGCAAAATGGAGACACATCCGTCTCCACCTCACAGCGTTGTGCTTCGACACCGCGCCTGGGGTACAGGAAGTACTCAGTAGATAATTATAGAAGGAGCAGGTCCATTTAGGTGATTTTTTCTAGATAACTGTACTTGCCCCTCTGAGACGCCTTCCGGAATGAACTCGTTCCAAACTGGATCACTCCCCTCCCAGCCTTCATGAGCAGAATATACAAATGGTCTCTTACACTTTTCTGAATAACCTGAGTCATTGCTGTGAACACGGCGACCGTTTTGCGTGTCAGAGTCACAGCCCAGAGACAGAAGGGCGTGTGAGATGGTTCCTCCACCAATGGATCCCAGATGGCCACTCTTTTTGAGGTTTTCTTCCTCTTTCTGCCTCCTGCTTTGCCATCAGCTTGAAATGTCTGTTACGGTACTTGCCTCTGGTACTACAAACATCTCTCTCTCCTATTCAATAGTTACTTGGTTCCTCTATGAGACCAGGTGAGAATACTTGTTAAAATTGTGTCTAAACTAAAAGTCAATAGGCCTTGAGTGAAGCCTAAGGTCCTTTCTCCTGAGGAGAGCCTGTGTGCTTTTGGTCTAGCTGTATCCAGCCCTTTGCTTCCTGTATCCAAGCTGCCCTTGGTGCAGGTGGGCAGGTGAGGGTGCTGTAAGCGAGGCCTCTATCACCACGCCTGTAACATGTAACACAGCCATGGGCCCAAGATGCTCCAGGCCCAGGCTTTTGTAAAAATATTCTCCAAAGCTCTTGGCTTTGCACGACAGTACATCCATCTGCCGTTCAGTTCAGGCCTAACGTGTGGCTTGTTCCTTGTTCCTCCTGAGGGCAGGGACCATGCCTCCATCACGCCTTGTGACACCACCAAAGAGCAGATGTTCAGTCGACACAGCTGGTCCATCCAAACCCACTGGTTCCCCAGACACTCACGGGAGCAGAGATTTGGTGTGATGCTCGTGGAAAACACCCAGTCCATGACCTCTGCCCGATTCTCCGTCTCAGAGAAGGACAAGCCAGCAGAGTCCCTGCTGGGAAATTCAGCTCCAGCCCAGGAGGGGCTCTACAGACATCCCTGTTTAAGGGTGGGGCCAGGTGCTGCTCAGTGAAACCAACACCTGGTATCCCAGGAAGGCACAGCAAGCCCAGTGCTGCTCCAGGATGGGACTGTTGAAATTTCTTTCTTCCTTTTTTTAATGGAGGCACTGGGGATTGAACCCAAGACCTCATGCATGCTAAGCACACACTCTACCACTGAGCTATACCCTCCCTTGCCAATGAATGTCTTTGCATTCCAATGCAAGTTTTATAAGAAATAATAGTTTATAATTAGAAGCTCAGTCACCATTTTCAGACACTTGCTGGTGGTGGAGTTCTCTTATGGAGCTTAGAGTCCAAAGTTCCCTGTATTTCCTATTTGGAGAAATGAAGCTCAGAGAGGGAAGGTGATCTGGTCAGGGTGGCACAGCAGGGCTGGACACAACCCAGACCTCTTCACTTCCATCCTGATAGCCCCTGCCTTAAAGCCTGGGGGCTTCCAAAATTTTTTTCGTCTGCCAGTTTGTTAGTTCAAACCTTAAGAGGATGCAATGGAGAAACAAAAGAGGGAAAAACAGAATTGCTCTTGGGGCTTGGGGAGCGGGGAGAGCTTGGCTGCTGCCCTGGAGGGGCCTCTGAGTTGAAACGCACCCTGGGTTTGTGCAGATGAGGAGGGCCCTAAGGGCGGGTGAAGGTGCTTGTCTGTGTGAGCCACTCAAATCACATGTCCTGCCTAAGGTTTACATCCTTGGCAAAATAATGAGGGTTGGTCACTAATGGGCCTTTGAGAGTTGTCACCCGCTTTGTTGATAATTATAGAGCTTTAAAGGGGCTAATTCAGAGAAAATCGAGCTTAAGCCCCTGTCAGTTCCTCTAGGGCAGAACATGCCTTTCCTTTGCTGATGGAGACTGACAGCATCATTTTGACCTTGGTTTGCACCTGGACTTTCCTCACCCGTACACCCTTGGGAATAGGAAATCGGTCCTGTGTTTTGTTTTTGTTTTTGTTTTTTCTAAGAAAAATGTCAGCCTCTCAAATAGTTTTTAAGAAACCATGGCAAGAACCACAGAAAATGATCAAGTCTGAGTCGAAAGCATTTCATAGTTGGGGAAACTGAGGCACTGAGCAGGGGCTTGCAGAGGGTACGAAGAGGAATGAGCCACGCATTGTACATCCCTGCCTCCCAGGAGCTCAGAGGCAGAGGGTCTGGACTTTTAGAAAACCTGTTCACTCTCCTGCTTTACACTGTTCAAAGGTTTTCCACTGCCTCCTGGACTCAGTTCAACCTCCTTAGCATGGCAATCAAGGCCCTCTGGGATATGACCGCTTTGGCCTCGTCGGTCTTTTCCCCTTGCTTCTGCCCCTGGACTCTTCCTCCTTCCACTCTGCCAGCCTGTGTCCTCCCTCCTCCCAGCCTCAGGGCACCCACTCTGTGGGGGAACTCTGCTAGCCAGTGTTTCACATTTGGGTTCCTGCCCTCACCGCTGGGCTACCTGTGGGTCTCAGTCTCTATGAACTCCCTGATGTCAGAGATTATACCGCAGGCATTCCTGAGTCTCCATGCCCAGCACAGTGCCTGACACCTAACTGGTCTTCAGTGCATAAAAATAAGGTCCAGGTAGAACATGACAGCTCCAAGGAAAGGGAGTCACAGCCAGTGGGGACAGGGAAATGCCTCCAGCTGAGGGCTTTCTGGGCAGGCCTAATGGCAATTCATCTTCTCCATCCTTGCTCCAGGCCTCTGTGGGCATCAGTCCTGACCCGAGAACAAATCATGCTGAGGCAGGTGTAAGCAGGGGGCATGAGATGCAATTCTGGCCATCGTGACAGAAGGACAGTTCTCCTGAGGACTTCTGGGAGTGGCTTCCTTGATTTTAAACTTAGACAGGGGCGAGGAAATGGATCTTTATCAAATTTAGGCTCTTACTGTTACATGTGATGCCTGGACCTGCTGCAGCCACCTTGGACCATGAGGGAGATCAGCCTAAGAGGAAAAGGGCGCAGCCAGGTGCAAAGACAGAACCATTACCAGGGAAGCTGCTGCTGAGAGGCTGCATGAATATACCCCAGTGCCACATGACCTCGACAGTCCTCACTGCTTAAGGCGCTCTGAGTTTTCTGGTACTTATACCCCCCAGCATTCTAGTCATTACAGCTTGGAAGAGTGGACTGGGTTTCTGCAGATGGAGAGCGGGTGGGAGAGCATCTCAGGCAGGGGAGCAGCACATGTGGAAGGTGGGGCATAGGTCCCATCAGGGCAGAAAGCAATGGAGTCTAGCCCGGCCAGGCTACACTGTGGACCACTGGGAGGGGAGGGTATTTCTAACTCCAACATTCATGCGTCTTCTCCCGGTCATCACTCCTCTATTAGATCAGTTTGGAACCTGTCAATTGTGTGCCTGTACCTTGAGATGACTTAATAAAGGATGGGCTTTAAAGAGAAGGAAAAAAAGACCGAATAAATAAATAGCACTTCACTCTCAGCCTTGAACAACAGAGCAACCGTCCTAATTTCTTTTTGTTAGAACAGAGATAATCCAATAATTAGGGCAGCAAATAGCATAA